AGCGTCTTCAGGAGTCACTTTCCCTGAATGAAACTCTCTCCTTCCTGGCTCGAACTTCCTGCAGCTTCTGGGGGCACCTGTGGATCATGGCATTGTGGCACTGCCCACATGCCCACCACCCACCACACTCACTGTGCGCCTGCCTGTGCCCACAGAAATGCCTTGAGGAAAAGCAGGCTGGCTGACATCCACGAATCATCAGCCTCCATCGTACAGCCAGGCAGGAGGTGGTGGGTACCAGGGGCTCAGCCTCGGTTATCACAAATGAGGTGGGCACCACCCTTTATCCCCATTTTATGGATGAAAAGACTGAGTCTTCCAGTGGTTTAGCCACCTGACTGTAGAGCTGGTAAATGGCAATGTGAGTCACTCTGCCTGCCTGAGGGAATATCATCTCGAAATTTGATCCTGCTGCCAAGTGTGGCCTCTGGGATGGTTTTGTAAGGCCTTGGGCAGTCCTCTTGTCCATGCAAGTGGTGTAAATTAGGGGGACTCCGGAGGCCAGGCAGGGGATGGGACCGCAGAGAGCAGGCTGGGGTGGTGGCACTGTGTTTCCAGCTAATAAGGGCAGGATTGCTCACTTTTCAAGTGAGCCCAGGAATTTGGATTTTATGCAGAAATATCCAGGTTTTAGTTTTTAGGACATTCCAGCCATTAGCAGCTTGTGGTGACAAAGGCACAGGACTTGTCTTCACCAACAGATCAGATACCCGACTGATACCCGATGGGAAATCTGTTCTGAACAGTGTTGCATTCAATTCAACCTGTGAAGAACTGGCAGTTTCATTCTGGGATGGGTGACAGCCCCTTTAAAAAAGTTCCAGAAACAGCAGACACATTTGAAAGCCCATATGCATGAGGCACCACCAGTAAATGAGCACTCATTTTGTTACAGGTTAAAGTGATACTGTGGTTAAGTAGGCAGTGTTTTTAGTATTGTCAACATATACACTGAAGTATTTGGGGTGAAATGTCATGGTGACTATAATTTACTTTAATATACCTTCACAAAGAGGTAAAAATGATGGAGCAAATGTGGAAAAGGGTTAAGTGTGTGGTAGATAAAAGGTTATGGGGATTCATTGTATCATTTGCTCTGCTTTTTGCTGTATTTTGAAAATTTCAAAATGAAGTAAAAAATGAAATGACAATCCAAGGAAGGAATATAGTCTTCCATGAACTGTTCTGAGCTCTCCCCTGCCCCACTGCATTCTGCGAAGTCATGTGTGACTATCAAGGTATCAGCGTCTGCAGGGTCAGACAGAGACCCGAGGGAAGCACGGTCCTACACAGAGGCTGGCAGGCAGGCAGTGGGGGACCCTGCTGGTTTCCTTCTCTGCACACGGTAAATGGCTTCCACTGAAGCCTACCTGCAAGTGAAAATCCTGTGAGTTGAACTCTGGTTTGAAGAAGCCTGCACTTTAGAGGACCCGGTGCCTTTTCTTCTGTAATTGGAAGGATGTCTTCTGGACTGGGGGCAGCTCCAGCTGTGGGCTGGTTGAGGACCTTCTCATGTCCCTGCTCAGCTGCCTCCTGGGTCTGAGCCCCCAGGCCTCTTCCTCTCCCTCTCTGAGCTTCCATTTTCAGCCTCAGATGTGTTATAAGGATGCAGTGCAAGGAAGGTGCTAAGCAGAGCACGAATAAAGGCTCCCGCTGTCCTTGCTTTCTCTGAAGCTCAGCTTGCCCACTTCGGGTCGCTGCCATGTTGGATTTTCTCAGGAGCTGGCTGGGGCTTCCAGGGACTGGCTCTCAAGGAATGAGCACATGGGAGGAATAGGATTCTTCCAGGGGGATGACCTTCCTGCCAAGTCATGTTGCCCCTAGGAGCTGGGTGGGGAGAAAAGGCACGAAATGTGGAGATGGGCGTCCTCAGCTTGCAGGGGGTACTCCTCTGGCCTTCCTTTCAGGGGCCCTGTCACCCAGCCCAGCCCCACAAGCAGCATGAGGGCCACCTCCAGTCCCTCCTCGGTGCATTAGCATGTTCTGAGCAAATGGAGAAATCCCTGCTACTTCTGCCAGGGCCGACCAGCTCCCTTCCTGTCTTCCTATGGCCCCTCAGCAGTCCTAGAGTTTCTTGTGTAGATTAAAAACCAGGCCTGAATGGCTCCATTCAGCACTAAATTGGCATCTTAATCACCTCCCCAAGGAGGAGCTCCTGATTGCTTAATAATGGGTTGAAATCAGGGACCACAGAACCTGGTGTTAGAATCAGTGAGTGCAGCAAGTGGCTCTCTTGGCCTGATACCTTCACCCGCCCAAGCCCTGGAGACTCTGACCCCCACCCGGGACTGTGTGGCAGGAAGGCTGGCATGGTCGGTGGCAGTGTTCGAGTGCTGCTGCCCCTCTGGAGGAAGGTCCCCACGGGGTCAGCTCTTCAGGGGGCACTTTGGGTGAACAGACCTTGCTGTGACCTCAAAGGGCCCCAGAAGCTCCGTACTGCCCCCTGCCATCTGTGGCGCTGGGGAGCACTGCGGGGGAAATACAGGGCGCTCGGTGAAACTTGAAGTTCAGATAATCAGTGAGCAATTTCTTAGTTTAAGCGTATCCCAAATATTGCATGGAAAAGTTGTACATAACTTGAATACTGAAAAATTATTGAATTACAAATGATTGAATATTGAGTTATGAATACTGAAAAAATACTCATTGTTTACCTGAAATTCAAATTTCACTAGGCATCCCATATTTTTACTTGCTAAATCTGGCAACACTTAGAAAGAATTGCCCTGCCTGCTCGGGTCCCTGGCAGGGCCTTGTGGGACTCATCTGAGACCAGGCACACACAGGGCGGGTTCTGAGGTGCCTCACTCAGCAGCTTCCTAATGGGCCTCTCATGGGCCGACTTGGTGCTGGCACAGGGGTGGGCACAAGTGCCCCGGTCCATCTGTGGGACTTTGTGGGCAAGCTCCCTGGGCCTATCTTGGCTGCAATTTCCTCGTCATCGTGTTAGATTCTTCAGAGACATTTCTTCTCATGTCCTTGTGAGGGCGACGGTTCTGTTCCTTTCCCTCCCTCTCTCCTCCCTGTTCAGTGCACTTGGCCTGCAGCCTAGAAGGAATAAGCATCACTTCCTCAGAAAGAGCCTTTCCTCCCCCTATGCTGGCCAGAACTTCTCTGTCATAAGCCAGGGAGCCCCCCTGTGCAGAGGTGTGCGGTTAGGACACAGTGCAGTGTCTGCGGGTCCTAGGCAACATGACAGCATGGGGCCCCTTGTTCCAAAATTATTAATAATTTCAAGACGGACAGTATAGCATCATACAGGTGCCCAGGAGCACACCTGGAAGCCAGCCCTGCCCACCAAGGGCCAAGCAGGCACTGGGTGGCATGTGAGGGTGGGAGTGAGCCGTGTCTGGGGTATGGAGCCCCTGGGCTTGGAGGAGTGGGGGCTGTGCAGACCTGGGCCTGGGGCCTCGCCATGCAGCCCCAGCCTGGGTGGAACCATACAGCCATGTCTCCTAGTTTTTCAAGAGAAGGTGGAATTTTCTTAATAATAAAGGCTTTCTTAAATAGTGACAACTGATTCATATTTTGGAAAATTCCTGTGAAGGCAAATTAAGTGCTCTATCAAGGTATCAGCGTCTGCAGGGTCAGACAGAGACCCGAGGGAAGCACGGTCCTACACAGAGGCTGGCAGGCAGGCAGTGGGGGACCCTGCTGGTTTCCTTCTCTGCACACGGTAAATGGCTTCCACTGAAGCCTACCTGCAAGTGAAAATCCTGTGAGTTGAACTCTGGTTTGAAGAAGCCTGCACTTTAGAGGACCCGGTGCCTTTTCTTCTGTAATTGGAAGGATGTCTTCTGGACTGGGGGCAGCTCCAGCTGTGGGCTGGTTGAGGACCTTCTCATGTCCCTGCTCAGCTGCCTCCTGGGTCTGAGCCCCCAGGCCTCTTCCTCTCCCTCTCTGAGCTTCCATTTTCAGCCTCAGATGTGTTATAAGGATGCAGTGCAAGGAAGGTGCTAAGCAGAGCACGAATAAAGGCTCCCGCTGTCCTTGCTTTCTCTGAAGCTCAGCTTGCCCACTTCGGGTCGCTGCCATGTTGGATTTTCTCAGGAGCTGGCTGGGGCTTCCAGGGACTGGCTCTCAAGGAATGAGCACATGGGAGGAATAGGATTCTTCCAGGGGGATGACCTTCCTGCCAAGTCATGTTGCCCCTAGGAGCTGGGTGGGGAGAAAAGGCACGAAATGTGGAGATGGGCGTCCTCAGCTTGCAGGGGGTACTCCTCTGGCCTTCCTTTCAGGGGCCCTGTCACCCAGCCCAGCCCCACAAGCAGCATGAGGGCCACCTCCAGTCCCTCCTCGGTGCATTAGCATGTTCTGAGCAAATGGAGAAATCCCTGCTACTTCTGCCAGGGCCGACCAGCTCCCTTCCTGTCTTCCTATGGCCCCTCAGCAGTCCTAGAGTTTCTTGTGTAGATTAAAAACCAGGCCTGAATGGCTCCATTCAGCACTAAATTGGCATCTTAATCACCTCCCCAAGGAGGAGCTCCTGATTGCTTAATAATGGGTTGAAATCAGGGACCACAGAACCTGGTGTTAGAATCAGTGAGTGCAGCAAGTGGCTCTCTTGGCCTGATACCTTCACCCGCCCAAGCCCTGGAGACTCTGACCCCCACCCGGGACTGTGTGGCAGGAAGGCTGGCATGGTCGGTGGCAGTGTTCGAGTGCTGCTGCCCCTCTGGAGGAAGGTCCCCACGGGGTCAGCTCTTCAGGGGGCACTTTGGGTGAACAGACCTTGCTGTGACCTCAAAGGGCCCCAGAAGCTCCGTACTGCCCCCTGCCATCTGTGGCTGATTGCTTTCCCCCCTTAATAATGTGAGCATCTGCCCTCTCCTAGGTAAGATCACATGTATAAGCCTTAGACCCCTTTGCACATGGCAGTCGCTCAACAACGTGAGCTGTCTGGGTGGTGGGTGATGAGCGATTATTGTGCATTCTCTGGCATCGTTTTTGGACTGGTGGGAAAAGCACACCTGAGCACACCTGTCTGTCCGTCTCCTCAGGATGCCAAGTTTGTAGAGGAGCGGAGGAAGCAGCTCCAGAACTACCTGCGCCACGTCATGAACAAAGTCATCCAGGTGGTCCCCGAGTTTGCCGCCAGGCCCAAGAAGGAGACCCTGGTGCAGCTGGTGCCCTTCTTTGTGTAAGTACCGCTCACGTGGGGGTGCCCTGCCGAGCTCCCCCTCCTCTCTCCTGCGACACTTGGCAGCGAGTGTGTCTGGGATTCCTTGAGACCCAGGTGTGTTCAGGAACCAGAGGCACTGACATGGGGCCTCCAGCCACAGCACTTCAGAGTCCCTCAAAGGCTTAGGCGCCAGCATGTCCGCCACTGAGCGCTATTGATTGGAGGTTTGCAAAAAATGCCAGGCTGTGTGGTTTTATATGTTAGTGCATTTTGCTCAAAGGGAAGGTTCATTTTCTGTATGGCTCACAGGTATTCCAAAGCTAAACCCGTCTGTCAGTGTTTCTTCACCTCGGGTAATGGACCCAGGAAAACTCTCAGAGTCCCACTGGTACCAGCTTAAGTAATATTAATATGAAAATAACTTAAGTATGAACAAACTTAAAAGTTTGCGTGCTGACTCCTTCCCTGCGGTTCTCTCGGTCCTGTTGCTGGGGACATCTGTTTGTACAGCGCTCCAGAGCAGGTGGCTGCCCCTAGGTGTCACTACCTTATCACTGAGCAGTCCGCCTTGTTCTAGTCAGTCTTTTATCAGCCTGAGACACTTAGGTCCTTGGAATTAGGGAAACCGAACTGACGAAGCTGTGCTTGGTTTTTGTAGTCTTCAGATGCTGTAGAACATAATCATATTATTCCTGAAATATCATCTTCATAATGGAGAGCCAGGATACGGCAATCCACAGAGCAAACCTGTGCGTCCCCCAAAGTGGAATCAGGACACGCCATTTGAGAAACACTGGTTGGGGGCTATGTGATCTGCTGGGATAAAATAAGAGTTTCCTTTCACTGCAGCTCTTTGAAATGGCACGCTGAGAGCTTGGGGGTCTGTGATACCATAACTCAAACAGGGGGCTTCTCTGTCAGAAGCCAGGGAGCCCCGGTGCAGAGGCATATGAGCATTCGGCCACTCTTGTCCACAGGCACTATCCCTGCTGAGCCCCACGCTCCTGTCGGCTCCTGGACCCTGGGCTGAGCCCACCCTGCCATTTGTCTGGCTCTTTTCTCACGTACTCACTCCCCTTGCGTGCCCAGCCCTGGCAGACCCTTGGGTTTGGATCCCTGCCTCATAGCGCACTGCTCGGATGGCCCCCCCATTCTGGCCCTGGGTGTGAGCGCCGCCACCCCATGTCAGCGTGATGCGTCCATCAGGCTCGGACTCTTTTTTCTTTTCGCTGAACTTCAGGAAAGGTGGTCCCATTCCAGTTTGGGCAGGTGAGGGAAGGTAGGCAGGGGAATAAAAGTGAGTGGGTAGAATTTGCTCATTTTTCCTCATAAATATTCACTCACATTGCTTCTGTGGACTAACCCGAACCTTCTAGGCTCCAAAGTCCTTGGCATCCCCCAGTTGCTGGGAAAGAGTGCAAATCCTATTCAGCGTCTCAGACCTGCAGCCAGACTGGCAAACTGGTCAGGTGTGGACTGTTTTAAAATAAAATACAAGTGTATGATTTTTGAGGGATGAGTATGCCCCCACTTGCACCTCTCTGACTACCCTCCTCTCGCATTTCCCCTTGGCCTGCTTCGCTGATGGACAGCGGCACCTGTCCCTCAAAGGCACATGAGTTTGGGACCCCTGTGGCCAAACAGACAGTGTGGGCCCAGCTCTACTGCCACGGAGGAAGGTGATCTGGGGCAAGGACCAACCTCTCTGAGTCTCAGTTTCCTAAAGTGTGAAATGAGAAGAGTGATTCTGGCGCCAGGGACCTGTTGGGTTTTAAGTGAGGCAGTCTGCATGTGAGCCGGACGGCCCCGTCTCCGTCTTGTGTCTTCTCTGCCGTTAATACTGAGACTCACGAGAAAGAGCGGAAGGAGAATCCTTACAAACCCCTGTGGACATTTCTCTGTTTTGCTCTTCACCCTTTCATCCATCCCTCTCTATAGGTGAAAATGGGAGTCCAGGAAATTAAAGTGATTTGCCTAAGCTCATTGGGAAAGAAAGTGGCAGGCCTGGGCAGGAATCCACACACTGCTCTAAGATACGGGGACTCTGAGTCTTCAACATGTGCTAGGTGCTGGTGAAACCTTGTAACATGAATTATTCTGAAAGGCAGCCTCTCCTCTGTCCTTTCCCCAGAGATCTCCCACTCCCGCCCTGATAAAGCAACTCAGGGCCTACCCTGGGGAGGCTGGGAGCACCTGCTCAGTCTGCCTTCTCTGGGAGACTGAGGCCTGCTGGGCCCGACACCAGTGCTCCCTCCAGGGGCTCCTCCCTGGGGGAACTGTGGCCCCGTCGCCTTGAGAGGTGATGCGTAAAATGCCACTTACTCACCTTCAGCCTGGCCTGGCTGTTTCTGGGGTGCTGTTAGGGGAGGCAGCAGAAGCAAGGCCCCCAGGGTGCTGGCCCTTTGAGTCTGCTGGGCCCCTGCCCACAGGTCATAATGAACTGCTTTTTGAAAATGACGAGGTTGACAGCTACTCCTCTCTAACATTCAGACAGCCTCCCTGTCGCCTAGGCATCCCACCAATCACAGTGATTATGCTCCATTTCTGCTGTTTCTTTCTGTTCTGTGGTGGGGCAGGGGGTCAGCTCCACAGGGAGGTGGAGGAGGAGGAAAAGGGCCATGCACAGCTTTTTGGAGTTTTGGAAATAGTGGGGCATCTGGACTGCCTCCAGGACAAACACCGTCCAGTGGATACATGGAAAGCCCTCTCCTTGGGGCCTGTATTCAGTAAACATCTTTTTCATCTAGTCAGTATTTATTGAGCACCTATTAAGTACTCTGCAAGCACTAGTGGTGGTGGGGATACGGTAGAGAGTAAAACGGACAAAAGATAAAACCTCTGCCTTTACAGAGTAGGGGGAGGTGGGACGTCAATGATAAACATAAGGTACTGCCAAATACAGGGTCCTTGAAGAACATTAATGCAGAATTAGAGGTACAGAGTCACATGAATGGTGTTTCCATCAAATGGGCGGGAAAGGCCAGAAGGGAAGATCTTACAGATTTCCAGGGGAGGGTGTTCAGATGGAGGGACCTGTAACTGCAGAGGTCTCGAGGCGGGAGCAAGCCCAGTGTGGCCAGACCAGAGGGAGCAGGGAATGCGACCAGAGAAGTCACCAGGCTGGATCACGCAGGGCCTTGGAGGCCATAACAGTGACTTGGAGATTTATTCTAAGTGGGCTGAGAAGCCCTGGAAGGTTTGGAGCTGGGTTGTGACTCAAGCTGGCTTGCATCTTTAAAACCTTCCTCTGGATGTGGGGTAGAGAGTGGAACTGGACAGTAGTGGGTCAGGAGGCTCTCAGGGTCCGGGCAGGAGGAGGTGGTGGCTTGACCAAGGTGATGAGGAAAGGCCGTCTGTGGAGCGATGGGACCCAGATGCGTGTGTCGTCTGGCTGGTGGGCATGAGAAGAGAGCTTGTGTGACACGCCCAACATCCTGACAGGCCGGGCTGGTGTAGAGATGCCACAAGTTGCTCAGTGTGGATGATCTCTGTATTCAAGTCCACAAATTATGGAGTGCCTGCTCTGGACAGGCCCTGGGCCAGCAGAGAGGCCTGGGAGCATTAGTTACACAGACCACTGACATGTGGACCAGCCCTCTGGGGCCTGCACGTGACTAGGGCATGATACAAGGTGGATTTCTCACATTTGTCCATTTAATAGCAATTTGGAGAATGCCTAGTTATGTGTCAGCTTGCGTGGGTGGTAGCCCTGCTCTGCCACCCACTAGCTGTGTGGCCTCCAGCAAGTCCCATAAGCTGTCCAGGGCCTCTGTGTCTTCATCTGTGCAGTGGAGATCTAACAGCACCCACCTCCTAGGGTGGCCATGCCATTCCGCAGGCACATACGTGTCAGACTCTTAGAACAGACCTTCGCCCATGCAAGCACTGTGTGTGTGTGTATCTCTCTTCAGCAGAAAGGAAGCACGGGGGAGGGAGAGTCCAGGGAGCAGACATTTTGGAGGAAGTGATAAACATATGATATTAAAAAAAAATTGAAATGCTGCAGAAAGCTCTGAGATAAATAAGCACCACACCCTCTTCACTATGTGTCCCCCAACCCATGATCACTGTCAAGTTTTTTATGTAATTTTGCAGAAATTGTCAACACTTGCGTAAGCCAAAGCCAGATCCTGCAATGTTCTGTAGTACATTTTTTTTTGTAGTAAAGCTGGCTCATTCCTTCTGACAGCTGTGTAGTTCCCACTGTAATGGCTCTCTCTTAAGTATTTCACCGTTGCTCCATTTGAATGTGAGGTTTCCATATTTTCCTCCCTCAAACTGTGTTAACAGGAATATTTCCGTAGGTACCCATTTTGGCAGAGAGATCCATAGGATTGATTTTTAACAGTAGTTCTGGCTCAAGAGTGTAAGGTGCATCTAACAATTTTGACAGGCATCATAAACCCCACCCTCATACCAATTTGATAAGCAGCATTTTGGTAAGATAAAAGGAGATGTTCTTGCCAGATGTGTAGAACAGCTGTGAAGTTCAGGGAGCGTGAGTCATCCCCTGGGGCTGGGGACCAGGGCGCCTCCTCCTGTGGTCAGGATGCCCCAGAAGCGAGGCCGGGCTCTGGGGAAAAGGCCTTGGGGAGTTTCTGTCTTGGTCTCTGGGGTGGGAAGCCCTTGCAGGCCTGGAGCTCGAGTCTCTGCTTCCAGAGGGTCATGCTGGCTGCTGGGGGCAGGTGGTGGTGGAGAGACAGGCTGCGTGTTGAGTAGCCCAGGGAAATGGTGGGGTGGCCTGAACAAGGTAACGCCAAGTTTTGAGGCTGAATGTGGGTGAATGATGGTCAAGGGACAGGAGAAGCTTGTTTGGCAGCAAACGAGGTGAAAATGAACATCAGGTTTAGAAACTGAGTTAAGTGACATCCTGAAGGCAGGTCAGGAGCCAAGCAAGAGACTCAAGTGTCTGCTAGAATTTCATCCTCTGAGCTTGGCATCAGGTAGAAATTCCTTCCTGGCATTTCTAAGGAAACATATGTTTGCAAATCTCAAGAAAAATCAGTCAAGAGATTGGG